TATATATATCAAATGCATAAAAAAGAAGAGGAGACAAGTTTGTAGTAACTACTAAGATATAGTACGTTGTCATTTTACCTAACAATGTGATCTCCTTTAAGAAAAGTCATAACTTTTAAATATTAAAGTTGGAGGATGGGGAATTCATGCTTGAATTAAACGAATGATGGGGCTATGAGTACCATAAAGGTACCTTCAAATCGAAATGAAAACTGAGAGAGTGGGGGATGGGCTATAGAAATGAAGAAGTGAAGTGGGATTGTGGGAAGCTAGCAGCCTAAGCATAATTAAAAATAAATAAATAATGGGACGACAGTGTCAATTAACTTTGTCAATAAGACAATTGACACATCTTTTTCTGATTTTGGTGGAGGAATTGACTTGATTATTAAAACTAAGGGTGTTTTAGTTTTCCCCCCAAGTAATCGCTTAGTCAAACAAATGGTAAAAAATAAAATAGTGACAAAATGTTGGGTTTTAACTTAGTATTTTATAAGCTTAAACAACAACAACAACAACAACAACAAAATTTTCTTAAATTATATTAAAGCATACATTTGAACTCATGTATTTTTATTATAACTAAAGAAATCTTTATATTTTGATTTGTACTAAATATTATATTTTTTCATTATACTCACATAACTCTTAATTTATAACGAAAAATTAACAATTATATGATTATGTCGTATATACTATAGACAAAAAAAATAATTTTCTATTATAAACTAAGTACTTGTGCAGATATAATAAAAGAATAATTTTTTAACATAATAAAAAACATAAAAAATTATTTAAATATATAATTAATTAAATTTTAAAAAAATCCGTAGTTTTATGGTTTATGCACAAATAGCTATTGATAAATTGGCAAGTGAGATTAAGACAAAGGATTATACAATTAGTATAGGATCATGTATTAACCTATTGTGAATTTGAGTGCTGTACCTTTGTGATTTTGAACCATGGGTAATTTCATCACTATATATGGCCTAAACCATAATAAATAAATGTATCTTCTTTTTTTTGAACATCCCACCTTTAGTAAATATGCATGTACATTATTTAACTTTTAGTATTATTTCTCTTTAAACACGATACATTTGAATTTTTAATTTTTTTTTATAATTGAAGGATGAAGAGATTCGAACTCTACTTTTTAGACAAAAAGATTATACACCAACAAATGAATCAAATGATAAAATACTATATTTGAATTTTTAATTTAAATTACATAACTTTACTAATATCAAATGGATCCGCGTGGCTTTGTAATTTAGTATTTCAAAATTAGAGAACCATAAAGACCTAAAGAGTCTAAAACTAGGTATAATGACTTTGGTTAACAGCCTTTTTAAACCTAAGTTCGACTTTATCCATTAATGAATCAAATACGTTAACATAAATATTTGTTGCTTTTGATAAATCTATTGCATTTTGCGAAAGCCCCGATAACACCAATCCTGGGTGGCGTCCCCATCTATCGGGCTGGGTTTTAATGGACCTCTCTCTGATGCATTTGTAATAAACACCTAAGGTTTTCTCTTTGTTCCTTTTTTTTTAAAGATTTTATTAATACCAACTTTTAAAATAAAAAATGAGTTTAGTCCATAGTATTTTTATTTTCACTAGACTCCTAAATTAATGAAAAAAATTAATATCAGTCGTAGATTTAATTTGGTATAAATATTTTTAAAAATTCATAAATTATTTAATAAAATTAAATAACTTTTATTTTTTTATTATATTTAATAAAAATATATTTATTTTTTATTTTAAATCAAATAAATTTATTAATAATTGACTAATTATCTAATTAAAATAGTAATTTTTTTTATATCATGTGGTTATGTTATTGTAATGTTATTATTTATTTTGATATGTTAATAAATTATTTCAGTATTACATGATATAAGGATTAATCATAAAGATTTAATTGATTGAAAATAAAATATAAAGATTTTATTAATGAAATAGAAAAATATAGAATTTTTAAATAATATAAAAAATTTTAAATATTATGTTATTTAATTTTGATTCCGTAATAAATAAAGGATGTAAAACTCTTTATTTTTATATTAATGCAAGTTGTATATAATTCGTCTTCAACATTTTATTTTATTTTATATATTATTTAAAAATAAATAAAAATACAAGCATTCAACGAACAAGAAATATTAATAAGTTTTAAATTTGTTGAAAATAAAAAATTAAAATTTAGAAGAAAAATAAAAATGAAAAATTCATATTAATAGTAGACATTTGAATTGTCTTCGTAAACTAGTCAAGCCGTCGTTATTTGGAAAATAAAAAAGAGAAACAAGAACACGAGTCAAGGGAAGCAGTTGTCTAATCTGCATGAAGAAAGTTGGGACAAAATTACGAAAGTACGCAGTCACACGCGTCACGCAGACGAGCACCCCTAAATCAGAAAAACCCTAAAAGCCACAGAAATTCAAGCAGCAGCCTCCCTCGCTTTCTCCACTCCTAAACCTTTCTCACTCAATTCTCAAACCTCTTGCCATCTCCTCACCGGAATCTGACGTCATGGCTCAAAACAACAACCGTCGCGTGAGCTCCGCCGTCCTCCTCTGCTCTGTCCGACCGACCATCTCCACCACGATTATCACTACCATTTCAACTGTCATCACCATTACCATTTACTGAAAAAACAATCTCCATTTCACCCTGGGATTCTCTCACATTTTCAACTTCAAAGTGTATAGACTGTTACTGAAGCCAAATTAAAGCGTTACCTGGATTATTCTTGTTCGGGCCGGGTTTGGGATAACAGCGATACGACTTCGGGTTTTGTGTAGCTGGTTTTTTTCTTATTGAGAAATGGCTACTTTGGGGAGCTATGGCGTGCGCTTGGGAGAGTCTACTCACCGGTTTCCGCGTCCCAATCGCGGCGATAATTACAAGAGGTTTTAACACTCTCTATATAAGATATATATATATATATATATTTTCTAATTGGCAGTCGTTAGTTTGGTTAATTAAGTATACTATTCGTTGGCTTATTTGGTATTAACTGGGAATTCGTTTTGGCTTATATGAATTTTCCTTTTGGTGTGTGCCAAGAACTTGATATGGAATGACCGCATATTTTCCCTTCTATGTCATCTTCCTGTTTGCCCGTTTCTCGTTTTGTAGAACAGTTGATATCTTAGTACTTGTTTGAAAGATTTTGCCTTTTTTTTATTAATGTTAAAGTTATATCATCCTTGATGGGTGTTAACGGGAAGCAAAGTTGATCTTAGTTGAAATTTATATCTGCATAATTTGATCATCATCTCATTTGTTTGCTATGTAGCAGGAGAAATGCAAAATGGAGGTCTCCACAAGCAGCAGTAATACCTAATTTCCATCTCCCAATGCGTAGTTTTGAGGTTAAAAACAGGTAATAATAATCTTTGTACTATCTGAATCTGATTGATGTTTTACTGGATAGAATAATTTGTTGCCTTGCCTGTTGTTGGTCAATTATTTTTGTGAGAAGGACGGCATCTCTACCTATTTTTTCTACCTGCATTAAAAGTTCCTGAAATGTCAATCTCGGTTCTGTTCATATGTCTCTTTGTTGCTAGATCTCATTACTGCCCTGCTATAACAAATATGCTTTATATATGCTGAGACATTGTTCTGTTATCCATACCTTTATCTAGAGGTATCCTTTATTACACTCTTATGGAGCTCTTGGAGGTACCATAAGGGATTTGTGCAAGATAAACATACTTGAACACCTTGGTTCTTGTCCATGCATAATTTTGAGTAGAATCTCTTCACACTTGTTATAATCTTCTGTTTGGAGTTGTTAAGCGTGTAATGCACCATACATGGAGAATGCCTATGACATATGAGTTCTAAGGGGTCTGTGGAATGCATTTTCACTGTGTGATGTGAATGTACTTTGTTGGTGTCTTAATTGATGGAGAGTTTGTTTACCAACAGCTGTAGATTGTTGTTGAGAGCAGTCTCTTGTTGGAAATGAAACTTTCTTTCTGAAACAATTGCTGCTGTTGATGATTTTGTCTGTTTTCTGTTTGCAGAACATCATCAGAAGATATAAAATCTCTCCGATTGATAACAGCCATCAAAACCCCTTATTTACCTGATGGAAGGTTTGATCTTGAAGCATATGATGGCTTGGTGAATATGCAAATTGAAAATGGTGCTGAAGGTGTAATTGTCGGTGGTACAACCGGTGAGGGCCAGCTGATGAGCTGGGATGAACACATAATGCTTATTGGTCATACAGTTAACTGTTTTGGTGGATCAATTAAGGTAATTGGTAACACAGGAAGCAACTCAACAAGGGAAGCAATTCATGCCACTGAACAAGGTTTTGCCGTTGGAATGCATGCTGCTCTTCACATCAATCCTTACTATGGCAAAACATCTCTGGAGGGCTTGATTTCTCACTTTGATAGTGTGCTGCCAATGGGCCCCACCATCATATACAATGTGCCATCACGAACTGGCCAAGATATTCCCCCACGTGTCATCAATACGGTAGCACAGAGTCCTAACTTGGCCGGTGTAAAGGAATGTGTTGGAAATGACCGGATTGAGCAGTACACAGATAATGGAATTGTAGTGTGGAGTGGGAATGATGATCAGTGCCATGATGCTAGGTGGAGCCATGGGGCTACTGGGGTAATATCTGTTACAAGCAACCTGATTCCAGGTTTGATGCGAGAACTCATGTTTGGAGGGAAAAACCCTTCGCTTAATGTGAAGCTTTTACCTCTGATTGAGTGGCTTTTTGAGGAACCCAACCCCATTGGCCTAAACACAGCCCTTGCACAACTTGGGGTTGTGAGGCCAGTTTTCAGGTTACCATATGTACCTCTTCCCCTGGCAAAGAGGGTAGAATTTGTTAATCTTGTCAGGCAAATTGGGCGGCAGAATTTTGTAGGAGAAAAAGATGTACAGGTTCTTAATGATGATGACTTCATCTTGGTCGGGCGGTATTAGTCTGTTGTCATTGGTGTCTCAGTTTCCAGTTTGGAATTTTAAATTTTCGTTTAGAAAGTTACAAATAAAGCTTACCTGGTTGTTTAAATTATGACAGGAAACAGTAGTACCATATTATTATATGATGCCTGCTGAGTAATGAGTGTTGCCTATTTGGACTGGTTTGCCATGTACCTCTCTGCATCTCCATTTATAGGCAAGGATTGTTTTGGGAAAGAATCATTCATGCCTTTCTTGCATCTGTAAAACATCTGTTACCATCTGCAATCCTAAATCGTTTTGGACCTTAACAATCTAAATTGCAAGCACCAATTTATCACTGTAACTTACGTATTGGTTCATGATTGAATCTGTTAAATGCTTTTCCCGTTTATTTCCTCGAATGGAAGTTACCAAACATCAGAGGAAACAGAGGGACAAGCCATATGGAAGTAGGCGTGGGTGTTCTTGAGCTACATCGCAATTTACCAAACATCATTTGGGACTGCTAGCTAATCATGTCTCTAGGATTATGATGGTCAGCTTGAAGCCAAGGTCCCTGTTCTTAATTTTAGTTATGAGTGCGTTGTCAGAGGGTGCATCCGGCCCAATCAAACATGTTGACCCGAGGTTCCATATCGGTGGCTTGGAGCCGACAAGTTACCATTGCTTCATTATTCCAAACTTTTGTTGCTAAATGCCCTGCAGTCCGGACCAGAAAAGAAACATGAAGATCCCATTTCAAAAGCTGGCAATCAAATTAGGAGTTAGTGTTAACAAAACTTTCATAAATTAATTTCTTGATTAAAGCCAAAAATACTCACAGACAGTCACTTTTCGGGTTACTTTTGTTATCTTGAGATGATGATTGTGATTCCCGACCGCATGATTTGGATTCAATTATTGGCTATTAGAGGCGATACTTAAAAATGGTATCGAATTATACAACAGAAGTGATTAATCACACAATTAAGTTAAATTTAGTGATTATTACTTAAATTCAGGGTTATTCTTAATAATACTAAACGAAGGTGGTCTAGGAAGAAAGTATACCCTTTAGCTAAGGATGCACGCAGCAAGGGAAAATCCAAACAAAAAGTGCATATCCATTTGCCTACACTTTTAGGCTACAGATAATGTATTTGTCTCTGGTTTACCTTTAATAATAATCTAATAAATACCTTTTTTTTCTTTAATTAAAAAGATGTTTGATAAGTTTCAGATCGGCCAAGAATATTGGTATTCTTAGCTAAAACAATTCATTCAAGACCCCAACAGAAAGAACATGCAAGAAAACTACATGAAGCTGCTAAACTCTTACATTAAACTTCTTCTATGTTGATATTGGTAACTTATTTGCAACCCGAATCTATCAAAAAACAAACTTAATTTAGAGGAATGAAAACAAGCGCAAGAAAGAAATGAACGAGATTTGAGATATCTAACACTTTCCCCGGTTTAAGTAGTCCATCATTCTTCTTCCTATATTCTCTGCATCAGCATATAGTGTTATGCTACTAGTATTACAGTATTTACTAATGCGAGCTAGCGGGTTGTTTCCTACTTTTGGGAGGAATTTTGGGGATTGGAGAGCTTCTTCTGTAGCTGAGCCAAAAGGATTTGGTTCTCCTGGTGGAGGAGAATAGCTTTCTTCCTCAGCCTCTCATTCTCTTCTATGATGCTTTGGTTCTGCATGTACAGTTTCAAGTTCTTCATTTGCATATCTGTTTGAACGCCGACGACCACCTTCTTTGTTCCCGCTCCCTTCCTCAACCTTCTCCACCTGTTGCATTAATTTTCTTGTCAGGGACACAGAGAGGAGACACAGAAAAACACAAAAGAAATAGCTGTAGTGTGAAGAAACCTTAACCTGTTGAGTCTTCGAACAAGAACGTTATGTCGCTTGGAAGGACGTTTCCGGTAGAAGGAATACAGGGAACGGCTTGGGATCGACTCTGAAGAGTTCATGCACATGTTTTAGGATCGAGAGAAAGAAAGAGGGTTTTCTTCCCTTGTGGGATCAAAGAGAGGGGTTATCTTGTGTGCTCCAACGAGGGAGAGAAAACAAGTGTTATATAGCTGGGATATTGTGTTTGTATCTGAAAATGAGAAAGAGAAAAGAGGGAGAGAGAGAGAGAGACAAAGAGAGAGGCTTTTCGTAGTAATGATGGCACTAGGACTCATGATTACTAAGGGGCAGCAATAGATGGAAGAATACAGAGCAGAAGGAAGAAGAAAAATGGGTTTCCCTCTTCTCTTTCTGTGGCATTATATGAGTAGTAGTGCCACTTATTTTTAGTTTTTATGTGATGAGTGTCAAAGGACATGAGCCAAGAGGGGTTGGCTGGCTCGGGCACACAGAAAAGGACTATTCCCTCTACATGTTCATTCACTTTTTGAATTTAGAACTTTCCCCTTCATTTTCTTTAACCGTTTGGCTTCCTTCCTGTTACCGTACAGAGCTAAATTTCGGATTATTATTATTGTTATTTTTTTGTGATGTGCTGTAATCAATCAAATTGGTGCAAGTAGTTGATGCTATCATTGCTGCAGAAAAATTAACTCTGGGGTTCAATTTCAAACTTGACAAGCTATCCTTCATTGATGAACTTGATCCAGCAGGGTTAATATTTATAACAGCAAGAAAAGTTATATTGAATTGAAATTTTTAAGATGAGTATTCAATTTACATAAAATTAATTGATATAAGATTATAATTTCTTTAATACTCACTTTTATTTGTAAAATTATTCAACCTATCATATGATATTAATACGTTTTTTATTATAAATTGATGAAGATAATATTTTTTACGATATTATGTTAAAATTTTTAAAGTAGATATTTAAACTTTTAATCTTAATAGCATCTTAAACCTTAAACCTTAAATTTAAATTTTTAAGAAAAGTATTACCTTTGTGTTACTCAACCATTTAGCCCTAAATCCAAAATTCGAGCATAGGTATTTATTACCTCAGTTTTACTCAACCAGTTGATTTCCTTGACTGATCTTTCATGTCAACAAAAAAAAAAAACATGTAATTATTAAAACTTTAATTAGTTTCTTCGTCTGATCCCTTCCCTTACGCTCACCTTTCAAACGAAACATGCAACCTTTAAGAGAGAAAGAGAGACGTGGGCAAGTAAGTACCTTCTCGCAGCCTGCAGGGGATGGTTTTGAATGACTCCGGATGTCTGATTTTTTTTTTTATTATTATCTTGTTATATGGAAATGGCAGATTTATTTGACAAGTGCTACCATACCAACGAGTCAAATTTAGAAAGGCTTAGGGTCTTCCCCTCATAATAACCAAGCGGGGGCCAACAAATCCTAATGGGATCCCTAAAGTACAAGCCTCCATGAACAGAAACCACGGATTTTAATCACGCCAACTAAAACCTTCACGCATTCTTAATCACTAAGTTCGTTAGAAATTCCTGTTGACTGGCGAACCAACAATACTAAACGTGGGCATAACTTCACTGGAGAATTAGGGGTCGTGTGGTCAAAACAAAGAACTTTAAGGTTTTGGATATGTCTGTCTGTAAGAAAAAGTTTGGTGAAAAGCAGACCGAACCCAACACTATCTTTTTAATTTGGTTTGCCTTTTAACAAGAAAACCCTTTACGTCTTGGACTCGCCAAGATTATAGAAAAAAAGAAAAACAACGTAAATCCAAAAGAAAATATGCTTAATCATTTGTATTAATGTGAAAACGTTTGTCAATATTTTATTATCGTGATGATGGCTGGTTACCGTGCTTTTGACGTTTTTGTTTACGCGTCTATATGTATAATTAACTTTTAACTCTCGAGAAGTGACCTGATCAAAGGAAAAGGCACATGGAAAGTCACGTGCAAATCACGTGTGGACCTACAGAGGATGGGGCCATGAGAAGAATCCAAAAGAAAAACGAGTGGGATAATGTTTTGGAAGGGAAGAGGGGGAGTAGTAGTAGTAGTCAATGTGGTTAGGTTCTTCCTTTTGTCCATTTTCTTTCATGTAATTGAGTACCCAAGCCATGCTTACTTATTTGGAAAATGAAGGCTTTGGTTTTGGACTCATCTTCGTCTATCTCTCTTCTTTCTTCTTCTTCTTGGTCATCATCATAATCACTTCATATCCGCAAGAAACAAAGGATGGAAAACCATCATGAGAGAAAATGGGTGGTGCTTCATTTGGTCCAATTTTCACCTCGCCCATTTCACTCTCACATGGTTCTTCTCCTTCCATTGGCGGAATTGGGCACCTTGGGCTTTGTCAGCCCACAATTCGTTTGGGGACTAAATGTCAAGCTCCATCAAGTTTTCGGATTTTAGCTTAAAGAAAAAAAAAAGGTTTAAGTAGTAAAAAAGCCATCGAATTATGATTATTTTTTCAATGAAGTCCTTCACTTTTTATTGTAATGAAATGTATCCCTAAACTTTGATTTGAATCCAAATAACTTTTAATTGTAATGAAAAATTATCCTGTCATTAGATTTAATGTCAATTGACATTTTATACATACATATTATATAACTTGATTAAGTTACGTGATCATGAGATAATTTGACATATTTTTACTATTTGATCACGTTATTTGTCACGTGATCACGTTTGCGAGTTAAGTCATAAGTTATGAAAGTAAAAAATGTCAATCTACATTAAATCTAATAGCAATTAATTTATCGTTAGGATTAAAATTTTATTTGGGTACAAATCAAAATTTAAGGACTAGTTTGGATACAACAAAATGTGAAGGGCTTAATTGAAAAAATAATCATAATCTAAGGGTTTTTAAGCAAAAAAAAATGCTTTACGTTTCATGAAGTAAGGATCAAAATTCAAGGCATAAATTGGGAAGGCAATGCTTAAAACTTTCTTGAATGTCAAAAAAGTCATGCCTTCTGCAAATAATAAAAATAATAATAAAAGGATTTGCCTGTTTTCTCAGTATATATCCAAAATGAATATGGAATTGGGAAATAAAACCACTCATCATGTTGTTTTGAATATAGATGATGTCGAGGAAATTGATGGGGACTAAGGCCACTACAACTAGCCTTTCACTCATTTCTTGTATTACTACAACAAAGTACTCATACTACCATATGGAATGACATGAAGTAGTCAACAACGAAATGAATCTCCCCTTTACGTTTCAAAAACGATCTAATTGCCCTATTTTTGGATCTTTTTTCTTGTATCTTTTGGATTCGGAATATAAGCATGAATGTTCATAGAGGTTGCGTTTGTATATATACTTCTTCTTTTTTTTAAATTTTTCTGCTTTGATAAATCTATCTAGTGATGGAGAAGCTATAGGCTTTCTTGGACCAAAGTGAGAAGAAATAATTAAGGAGAGAAAAAATGAATGTGTTGATGAGAGCCACGTTTGGGATGATGGGTTCACATGCATCATTGATAATGACGACTGATTGAGCGGTGGAGCAACTCACACCTTCAGCCATGGTGGTCCAAAACCACCACCCCCGTCATACTTTCTAAACTTTCAAACTAGAAATCTATGAACATCTCTGACTCTGCCTTATTCAATGCTGCTTGTCTCCTAATTAGATTTCCTTTTCTTTTTTTGGTTTATTACCATCATGACACCTAAAAATAGGCAATTATAGCACGTATGGTATGGACAAGTAAGTTTTATCCATGGGGGCTAGCCAATGGCAACTAACGTTTGTCTTTTATCATGAATTTTCAAACCTAATTAACAGTTTTGTAATCCAATTACAAACAAGAAAGAAAGATTTCTTCTACGGTCTTCTCTTCATGCAATTAGAACAGGCCTCGGTTCTTTCTCAAAAATGCAGCAGTAAACCCAAAACGAGCCATGAGGCGGATTACTTCCTCTGCTGTCTGGCCTATGCTTTTGATGTCTTTATTCAGAATTAATGCTCGAATTAAGAAATCCTACAGCAGATGGTTGGCAAACTCATCGCTGTCTCTGACTTTCGAGGTCCAAAATTAATTACAAGTTACAAGCAAGATTTGGAATCAGCTTCAATCCAGCCAACTTTGACTTCTGGGTTTCTATCACAAAGGGCTGAAGAAAAAAGGCAGTCCAATGCCTAGCTAGAGCCACCCGTCGCAGCTCTGGAAACCAGATTAGACCCGCTTCGTTTAATTGGTTTTGTACAATATAATCATTTCTTCCCATTTTCCTCCCATGTGGGCTGTAGGGAGTCACGGAAAAAAACACCTAAAAGGTGAAAAGCATGGAGAGAACTTCAGCATGAGATCAGGCATACGAAATGAAGCTCATTTTGGTGAGTAATACTTGGAAATGGACGGCAACCTTGCATTCCTATTAAATCTTTACTTATTAGGCATTGGGTTGATCAATATTTACACTTGATATGCATCTTTACTTGCAACACAAAGCATTTGATAGGGTCGAGATTCCCCTGAGTGACTCGTGAGGAAGGGCAGGAGTACACTATGTACACTAAAATGAATGTTAATATGTACCAACTGGAAACTGAAACAGATATGGATCAAAAAGGAACTGGTATTCTAATCTACAATATATACAGCTTCGTTCTCCCCACAAAAACATATGATGAAACACGTTCAAGATGAACAAAATTTCATAATATAAAGGCATGCCTGCTACCCAACGGAATCTTCACCGCTAGTTTCATCATCCTCGTCCATTGCATGATTATGCTTTTGATCCTCATCAGCCTGGTCACTACCCTCTGTCTCTGCATCTGATATTGATCCACTATTAGCCGCTGCTTTGTTGTTATCATCATCGCTGTCAACACAATCCTCAGTATCCGAATCAGAATTAACAGTCAGGTTTTTCCTCTGTTGATCAAAATCATCATTAGCAGCACCTCCAAACTGTTCCTTTAAATCAGGAGCGACAATCCCAATCATCTCAGTCAATGCTTCACGTTCATCTTTACGTCTGGCAGCAGCAGCCTCAGAAGGTGGCGTACTTTGACTCTCAGCTACCAGACCACTAGAATCATGCAGGGCCATGGCACGATCCTCTTCATTGTGTCCAATTTTAGGAGATTCATTTTCTCCATGGACAGAGGGAGCAGTACTTTGAGCCCAACTCCCCAGAACTTCGGAAGCTAAAAGGTCAGCTGTCCTGATTGTGCCTCCTGCTTCTGTGTCTTCCACGGAATTTTGAGTCTCAAGAGGTTTATTTGACTCTGAGTGTATAGAAGTATCTGGGCAAGTTGTTTGAATCTGTTCATTGCTTTCAGGAGCATTGCCATTGGTTTCATAATCACACTGCATTGTATCTCCACCTAAAGTTTCACACCTGTTCAAAGCAATATTCTGTTCAACCTCGATTCCCAGGCTTTCAGTTTCAAGAACACGCTCAGTTCCAATGAGATCTCCTTCTGGAACAGGTGCCATACCAACACCATCAATGTCAGAACCAAAGCCACCTTTAGCAAAAGGTTCAGCACTAGTAAATTCTGCCTCCTGTGTGTTTTCACCAACTTCTTGACTTATCATATCACAGTCATGCTTCTCGGTAGCACTGGCTTCATCACTAGAAAAATTAACCCTCTGAGCTGAAGTAGTGGAGCCTGCCTTTGTGGTATTGTTTCCATGATAGGAAGCAGTAGCCTTTTCTCTGACTACGATTCCATTAACATTCCTGCTTGGTACATTAAGGTCAATATCAACAGATGTATTATCATAATTTTCCTCATCTTCCAGAGTTCTCTGCATTGCCTTCAGTTGTTCCTGCTGCTTTGCAAACAGTACAGAGATTTCCTCGGTTGTGGAATAAAATGCTCGTAGTTGCGTTTCTCTGCAGAGCAACCATATAAATGTTACCATGCTGCAATTGAGGAAATCCAAAGGATGTAGGAACAACCATCCGTGTTAACACCAGAGACCATAATATACAAATGGATAGAACCTTGATTGGCAAAATGCTTACACCAATAGGTGCAACAAGAGATCAAACAATAGGTATTGTGACAGAAGTCATACCGAAGCATAATTCTTTCCCTGGCACCTTTTAGCCTCCTTCTCTCGTAATCAAGATCCCGCATTGCAGCATTTACTTCAAGCTCAAGAGCAGAAACTTTAGCCCAAGCTTCTTCTCGGGCTGCCTGCTACCAACAGCAAAGGAAAACTCAGCTTAACAATAAAGTAAGTAACTTTGTAAAGATGACAGCCCAGAGGTCTTCTGTACCCAGATTAATTTATTTATTTAGTTGATAAAGGTGTATCTAGATAGATTTAAACACATCCATTGTAGCATGTCTAGTTAAATAGTTTTCATAGCACATAACATCCATTTTCATTTATGCTTTCAAAAGCTGCAGGCACATCCCAGATTGACATACAGGTTTATGGAAGCGAAAGCATCAACAGCAGTAATAAATAGTTTAAATCTTGTATATCAGAGAGAATCTGCAGATAGTTCATATCAAACAATCTAACATTGTAATTATTTAAAGAGAAAATAATAAAAATTTATACCTTTTCAGCCTCAAGCTCTTTCCTCAACCCTTTCATTGCATGTTCAAGTTCTTCCACTTTCTGCTCAAACACACAATTGCAAATTAAGTATCAGATTCGGAATCGATTTGCATGTGCTTGTCTGCATAAGGAGGCACAAAAGGACATGCTTACGTTTCTTGAGATTGCTGAGGCTTGTTGTGCTTCACAAAATTGAGTTTCCAGTTGGCGAACTTTATTATCAGAGTTGACCAATTTCTGCCTAATCTCTTCCTGCAGTAGATAAAGGAATTAAAATATGCTCCTTTCAGAATTTAGATGAAATACTGGTATCATGTGTTTAAACTTCAAAATAAGATGGCAATGCAGATGTTACCAGTTTGGACACCAAACCTTCCACTTGTGATGAGCTCTTTCTCAGTGATTCCTAAGAAAGCAGTTGCATAACATTTCATTACTCAATTCTTTCAAAATAAAATAAACATTAAGGAAATCCAAGTAAGCACAAGAAGAAAATCATTCTGACCTCTAGCTTATTAATTACATCTTGTTGCTCTTTCTCTCGTTTCAAAGCAACATCTGATAGCCTTTGATGTTCCTCTTGAGCCTCTGACTGAGCTCTTTGCACTGCAGCTTTTAAATCAACAGCAGCCTTTTCTCGTTCTTCTCGTCTCTGATCTCGCTCTTCATCTAACTGAACCTTGAGTTCAGCAATAGATGCCTTCTGACTAAAAAGTATGAAATTGGGCCATTATATTGTCTCTTATTATTTGTGCATAAATTATGAAAAAATAATAAAGCCAACAGGAATTCATTTCTTACCTCTTGATTATTTCATTTGCTTCGGTACATGACTGTATGGAAGCAGTAAGTCTTTCACTAAGGTCTTCTATAGCATGCTTTTGTTCAGCTGATATCCTATTGAGCTCTACAAGCTCCTTTTGTTTAACATCTAGCAAATTGTTCAATTCTTTGAGTTGATCAAGGTATGAATTTGCAACTGCTTCTTTTATCTCTTTGATTGCCTACAGAAACAGATAGGATATCTTCATCACAACGGACCACACAGCGATAAAAATAATTGGTTAAAAGCAAGCACAAGTAATACACCATCGCACATTCATTTTCTCTCCTTATAAAAGGTCATGGCCAGCTGAATCTAGTTATAGTATACTGATAGTTAACAAAACTTAAATATAAATAGATATTTTCATGTTGTAAGTAGGTACAACCACATGAAATCAATGTGGAATGCTGCACCAATTGAATTATGCCATGAACAGAACCCCTAGTACTCAGTAACATAACCACCTAGCTAAACCAACTCAATGAACCCAAACATAGACATAATTCAGAGAGAAAAGTGAAGTCATGATCCATCAGAAGAGCATACATTTTCATGACGCTCAACAGTTGCACGATTCTCACTACGCAATGTATCTATTGTAAGCACCTGATCTTCCAATTGCCTTCTCAATTCCTGCATGAATCAGTTTTTAGCATTATTTACTGTGCAAAAGAACTTAATCGTTTGAGCAATCACTGGACTCATGAATTGAAAATAGGATACCCTGTTTGACCGCTGAAGGCTCCGAAAATCATCAAGAGATAGAGGACCCTCAGGAGCACCAATGCCAATACCTTTCAGTCTCTTGTTTTCACAAGCAAGCTCTTCTGCAAAATAGTGAACAGTACATCATTTGAAGATTATGATGGGCAATTGTTTCACATAGTAGTAAGTTGGTAAATCTTTCCTCAATAAGAAAGGACCAAATATAAAAGGAAGAAAATGAGTCTTACAACTAGCTACTAATATTGTTATCAATCCGATCAGATTTACGAATTTAAACATACACATCTGACTATTTAGCAGATGTCTAAGCATTATAACACCAATGTTCAGGTAATGAAACCTATTGACTGTTTCATTAATATTTGGAAAATTAACAATAGTCATGACATTTATTCCACAACAAAATTTATATCAATTTTATGGAAAATTTAATAGACAGCAAGGTGGTGATTATTGATTAAGATAAAAAATGAAAAGTCTGAACAGAAAAAGGCATGAACAAGCTGTAGATATACCTGCTTTTCTTTTTGCACATGCACCTTTGACTGAGGGAGCGAACCTAAGAACTTCTCGGTATACAAATGCAAATGCAAGTTCTGTAACCAAGAAGGTAGTTACTTCCTTTGTAAGGCATTCCAAGCCTCAAACTTCAGTTAAAAACAATGAAGAATTGCATGTTTGTTATCTGAAATAAAAGAAAAGATCATGAATGATAGGTATTAGTATTACCATGTTGTGGAGGGGCAGAAAATGAAATGATGTCTCCATGCTCGATTTTCAATTCGGGACTGTTCTTTCTCAACCTCTCCCAATTAAGATACGTTCCATTTGTGCTACAAAGATGCACAACACAATCAGAATTCAGAACATAGAAATATTTGAAAACCTAACAAAAGATCATAAACAGCAGACCAACCTCGTATCTTTCAAGAAAACAGACAGATAACTGTTGGACGACTGCTCTGTATCTTCATTGGTGACTCTCTTCCTATATATTTTGCAATGATCAGCACTAACAGAATTTGACTCAATCCGAAAACTCACATCCTCTACTAATCGACCAATGCTGTGCTCATCGGCAGTAAAAAGCATATTCATACCCTACAAAAATGATCCTCTCATCAGTCTTTCATCCACATTGTAATTTACAATTTTCTGTCCAATTTTTTTTTTAAGAATACCCTTAACCAATTTAAAGATATTTTTTCGTTTCAATTCAATCAAGTTAGACAATTTACACGATGAATTAGCATGAGATGAAGATAAAAATTGAAAATTTACGGAAAATTGGAATGTTTGCAACCAAAAAAGATTTGAAAGAGAGGGTTTAGGGTTTAAAGAGAGGGAACCTGAGGGCGTTTGCGGGCATTGTTAGAAATAGCGGTGAGAACGCCCCAAACGTTGGGATCGTAGGTCGGGAGAGGCTGAGAGGAGATGTTGGCTGCGACTGAGACAATGAACTGTTTGGGACTCAACGGCACCTTTGAACGCGAAGAAGCGTCGTTTTGCTCAGGCCGTGACGTCGCCGATTGGGAAGCATGGTCTTTGGGGCTTGGTCTGGGCTTTAAAGAAATTGGGGTCTCCGGTTTTTTGACTTGCTTCGTTGCCATTGGAGTCTGACCGTGACTGAGAGTACATGAAGAAAAAAAAAAAAAGGGCGGGGATTTTGAAGCCCTAACTGCCTTCGTTTTGTGCTACACAGGTACAGTCGTTGTCGCGTTAGAGAGAAGCTTGTCTCGGAAGGCTTATTATTTTTAATTTTTTTTCGGGAGTTTCCTGGCCGTTGATTGGATCAAGTGAAAGTGACATTCGCCATATCAGAGAAGCGGGACCCACCGGTACCTCACCCATCAACAGTTCATCAATTGAGTGCATGCATTTAGTTGTGTAAATTTCATTTTACATGGGCTTGAGAAAAAGAAAAATCCGTGACCACAATAACGACTTGAAATGGCTGTTCTCTTCTTTGAGTAATGTTGCTGAAAGTGTGAACTTTCATTGTTACAAACTCTGATGAACTGATTGCTACTATACATAATTATGCAGGTGAGTACCAACTGCAAACTTTTCCTCTTTATCTCAAAAATTTTGTTGTTAATTCATATTCGTAACCAGAAAAACGTCTACTGGTGAGTTGTATCCTAAAATCATCCATTGTCTCGACACATTGGTGTTCACTATACTGCAACTCAACACAATTGCTGAGGTAAGACTAGCCAGCGAGCGGATTGGCGTGTATTGTCACGCGATTGAGCCTAATCTCTGCAAGAGGTCGATCACCTGGTCCCGTTTGAGTCTGCATAAACAAAATGCAGCTCCATAACGTTAAACATGGAAAAAAACTACTGAATAAACAAGCAATTGCAGCTGAAGTAGATTTTCTGCGACTGCATATAAAATGTTGGAATTGTATATGTGAAACGAAGAGAGAAAAAGAAAATGAAATTGGGTTCTATAAAACTATTAACTTAGGGTCAGGTTAAATGTCTTTCTTTGTGGTAACCCAAATTTTCCCTATCCTTTGAGGTCTTTAAATCCTATTTATCAAGATAAAGGCCAATTAAGTATGAGCCAAATAAAATTGCATCACACAGGATATCATAGGCCAAACATCAGACCAAAGTTAATCACACTGGCTAGCCTGGATATGTCAACACAGAAAGCCATGTGGACAAAGAAAAAGAGTTTGCATGAAAAATTAAATCATAACAGTAATTGTCCCCACAACATTCTAATTCAAAGAGAATTAGGCAGGGAATATGACTGTATGCTAGCACAACATACCTTTTCCATGATATCCAGGACTTCAAAACCATGGATCACCTTGCCAAACACTGTGTATAATCCATTGAGATGTGGCTGCTTCGCATAAGCTATGAAGAATTGGCTCCCATTAGTATTAGGACCACTGTTAGCCATTGACAATATACCCCTTGCATTATGCTGTAAAAAGACAACGCTTTGTCAAAATTAGTATGTCCACATCTATATCCTAACACACAGAAGGTTCACAACCAATGAGCCACTCAATGTATGGCATGCAGTAAAAATATTATATCTTGTACCGGAATATTGAGACTTTGCTTTATCAGTGCTTGAAATGGACAGAAATATAAAGAGTTTGAAAAGCATAACTATACCAAAACATTTGGGGCTGTTACCTTGGTTTCAAGGTAAAGTTAGAAGAAAGCTAGAGGAAGGGTGGGAGTAATAGAAACAAAATTTCAAACTCAAATAATGTGACTTAAAAACAAACAACATAGCAAACAAGGCACCACCTAGCACAGTTAGACTCCATTCTTGGACATCAAGGATCATGGAAGAGCATAAGCAAGCCATGGTGGAAAGAAAAAAAGTTCACCAGTTTTCTTAATACAGCAGGCTAACAAGCATAAGAAGCTCACATGAAAGAAGAGATATCTTCTCCTCACCCCCAGCCACTCCCCCCTACTCTTAATGGGTAAAAGTTGGTGACTAAATTCTCTCAAAACACGTTGAGAGATTGCATGAGCTAAAGATTGCAGTTTAAAAGTTAATTGTTGCCTTAGGCATCAGCTTAACATACCTTGAGGGATTCTCTAATCTCATCATTGAACTTCTTGCCCCATATGCTAGTTCCCCCCTTGCCAGTTCCTGTTGGGTCTCCACCTTGAATCATAAAACCCTTAATATTCCTGTGAAATATAGTCCCATCATAATAGCCACTAGCACATAGAGCCAAAAAGTTCTGCATTCAAATGAAAGATTACTATTATTAACATGGACAATAGTAAGAAACGAGAAGTGACGAAAACATTCACAACAAAAGCTGCTCATTAAATCAAATGCAACAGGAAATTATGCACCATATGGGGTGAAACGGGTGTCTCTTACAATTAAATTACGCAAAACGTTATATTGAAAATAAGTTCAAAGCTTGTGAAAACCATATGCATAGGTATAGCTTTACCTATACAGATTCATACAAAGCTGATACAGTAAAAAGATAAAGAAGTCTCTTCAATAAATAACAGGAAAAATAACAAGATCATAATCTCCAAAATCTACATAAAATTTGTCTCCAATTTCATAAATTTAGGCCAAATAAATTACTTCTAAACTTGTTTTCAGGGCAGCAAGTCATACCAACTACATCCCCTAAAGCGAACTTCTAGTCATAACCTATATTTTATCATTTCCTCGGTTTCTTTTCTGAAAAGCTTGCAACAGCAGAAGCTTCAGCTACTATGTGTGTCTGTTTTTTCTTTTTTTTCACATAAATAAAATTCAACCACTGAAAAGGGAAAAAATGGGAAAATTTTGAAGGAAATGAGGGTCCTAAACCTCTGCCGTTTTAGAGACCTCGTCGCAGAAGATCTCGCACTTGATGTCACCAAGATTTGTGTGCAAAGTAACTGACTGCAACAACAAGAATCGATTCACTGTTAGTACCCTTTTTGTTTATGTTCGATAAAAATCACGCAAAACAAAACTCACCATCTTTTCTTTTGGTAAGAATAGGCTCAGAAGTGAGAATCGGAAGTAGATGAGTTCCGTGGGTTTAGCAAGTGTAAACGTGTAATGATTCCCGGTGAGCGTAGAACTTTCTTCTTCAGGCCCTGGCCGCGAAAGATTCAGGGTTACTGGGCCTATAGGCTTGAGAACTGCGGCGGTTTCTCAAAGATCTTTCTGGGCTACGGCCCTGACGCTGCCTTAAATAAGGTTGAGCCATGTCGGTTCTACGCACCTAGTTGCTTATCCCGGCGGACCCATGTGGGACTTAGATACGCTACGGGCCTTCTGCCAACCTTTTTTTTTTTTAAATTAGTACTATTTATTTTATCAATTATAATTACAAAAGAAATTTCATATTTATGATTTATCATACTAGTATTATTAATCTTACCATATTACTAAATTATACCCCCACAAAAATAAATAAGCATACTAACCGAATCAAATTGTTAATATCATTTTTTTTGTTCTTTGGTTATTATTATGATATTATGTAAAGGTATAGAAAATTTTCTAGACATAATTAGGCTTCTAATTTTATTTTTCCATCATTTTCTTGTCTAATCATAAACCTCAACGATGTACCTTATTTTTAAAATAAAAAAGAATTTCTAAAATTGTATCTGAAATCATCTTCTTGAATTAAAAGTAAAAAAATTTCACACTATACATTTGAACACAGGATACCATAAAATTTAATACTAAGAAGGTGTTGACTAACGTTAAATTTGGCAGCCAGTTTCAACTGACCACAAAAACCTGATAGATCCCAGAGAATTCATGGCCGAATATCTCGCATAATACCGTTTTTAGCATTATGTTCCTTAAAACTTCGGAACAGTGTCT